GACCTGACAGTGTGCCCGACGGGACCGCAGGACAGGGACGGACAGTGGAAGAGGTCGCAATGACCGGACCCCCAGAGGGGTCAGCAAGGGAGACAGCAACTGGCCGAGCAAGCGGCTCAAGGGCAGTGCGGTCACGAAAGAAGCAGCGAGAAGCACCTAAATCCAGTGTGAAGGTGTGCAGTGCTGCAGTCGACGCAGTACCAAGGGGGGGAGACACACGAGCACCTAGAGCAGCAGCCTCACCAGCACCTGGGAAAGCCGACACGCGAGTACCTGAAGCGGCAGACGCACTGGCCCTAATGCCCGGGTCGGGCGGCACACACAAGAACTCAGCACCCTCTCCACTAGTAGACATCACATACATGGCAGATAGAATAGCATCAAAGTCTAGAGCATAGATATCAATCCCCTTCTTCAGAAGATCAAGCCAGCGGGGCAGCTCAGTGGCCTGAGGGAACTGAACACGCCAAGCGTCGTCGAGACGAGAGAAGCAGCGCTGTGTGGTGTGCGATCGTCCACACTGCTGACCAGTGCGGTCACCAGTGCGAATGACGTACGTGCAGCTAAGACCACCCCCACCCCCGTGCTGAGAGTACCACTCACGGACCTCCTGGGGCGAAGGAGTGTGCTGCTGGCCCTGGCCACCGCCAGCGCCTCCACGGCCACCACCACCGCTGCCACCTCCTCGACCACCCCAACCCCTTCCGCCGCCTCGTCCACCGCCACCCCAACCGCCGCCTCCACTCCTGCCACCTCCCCCGCCGCTGCCGCCACCACCCCCACCGCTACCACTTGCCCCTCCAGCCGAGCCACCACCCCCATTGCCTCCACCGCCCCCACTGCCGCCTCCTTCGCCGTCACCGCCACCACTCTTGCCCCCTTTGCCCTTGCCGTTGCGGCGCCCGCTCGAGGCAGACGCAGCGCCGACCTTCTCAGCACCAAGAAGGTCGACAGCAGCAGCAGAGGCGACAAAGGGAAGAAGGGGGGAAGGAGAACACCCCTCAAAGAACAAGGTACGGGGGACGCCACGAGAGGCACCTACAGCGACTATGCTAGTCTCAGCTGCAAGGAGCTCCTTCTCGAGGAGGGCAATGGTGAGCTCAGTGGGGCAACGAGCTAGGAAGTGGTCCCTGACAGCACGCAGTGTGTCAGGGAGGCGGGTGACTAGGTTGTAGAGAGTGAGCCTGAGTGGAGGGGGGTGCGTGGCAAGGAACTCAGCAGGCATGGCGGCACGGAAGCGGGCCTCACTAGAACGGAGGTGCGCGATGAGGTCAGCGACTGTGTGAAAGGAGGCCAGGTCGGGAAACAGGTAGGGGAGGGAGAGACGGCCTAGTGCGGCAGAGGCAGGTGAGGAGTAGCGAGCAACTACAGCTGTGTACAGTGCGTGTGCAGTCTTGTGCTGACCAAAGTGCTCGCGTTCGTCTATCGGCAGGGAGTTGCGAATAGCGAAGCGAGCGTGGGCATCACGAGTCTGCCACTGTGAGCGAGCAGTGCTGTCAGCAGTAGCAGCAGGGGCAGTGACATGGCCTAGGGCGTGATCGTACAGTGAGATGTCATCCTTGGCTGTGAGCTGTAGGTAGAGGTGCAGGTAATCGAGCCAGGTGTCAAACTTCACAGGGCGGCCCTCAGCATCGAACACGAGAACCTGTGGGCTAGCCATAGGAACAGTAGAAATAGCAGCAGTAGCAGTAGGAGAAGCAGGTAGGACGAACCAGTTAGGGCAGGGCGGCGCGGCTCGGTTCTGGGGCGCGCGGCTCGGCTCGGGGCGCGCGGCTCGGGTCGCGCGGCTCGGGTCACGCGGCTCGGTTCGGTCGCGGGCCGTGGCGGGAACGGGCTGCCCGGGGCCTCTAGGAGCGGTGAGCACGGGGCCGGTTGGGGCCTCTGGAGAAGGCGGGCACAGGTCGGCGAGGCGGCTTGGGGCCCTAGAGAGGCGAGCGCGGGGCCGATCGGGGCCTGAGCGGGGCTAGCGCGGGGCCGACGGGGCCTGAACCGGGCTAGCACGGGGCCGACGGGGCCTGAAAGGGGCTAGCGCGGGGCCGACGGGGCCTGAAACGGGGCCGACGGGGCCTGAAATGGGGCCGACGGGGCCTGAACGGGGCTAGCGCGGGGCCGATCGGGGCCTTAACGGGGCTAGCACAGGGCGGACGGGGACTGAACGGGGCTAGCACGGGGCCGACGGGGCCTGAAAGGGGCTAGCGCGAGGCCGACGGGGCCTGAAACGGGGCTGACGGGGCCTGAACGGGGCTAGCGCGGGGCCGATCGGGGCCTGAATGGGGCTAGCGCGGGGCCGACGGGGCCTGAAAGGGGCTAGCGCGGGGCCGACGGGGCCTGAAACGGGGCCGACGGGGCCTGAACGCGGCTAGCGCGGGGCCGATCGGGGTCTTAAAGGGGCCGACGGGGCCTGAACGGGGCCGCTAGGGAGAGCGGGCGTGGGGCCGACGGGGCCTGAACGCGGCTAGCGCGGGGCCGTCAAGAGGGGCCTCTAGGGGCGTGACACAGTCGAGGCGCCCTAGGGCGCAAGTAGGTAGGTAGGTATGTAGTTAGGTAGTGGTGGGCCCTTAGAAAATTTCGGTCCTAGGAAGGACCTGCTCTATACCACGTTGGAATAACTGAACAGGAATGAATGAACTAACAGTAAAATGGGTACAAGTACCTAACCCTAGAATTGTGTACCCCCTATAGGCTAACCCACTGTAGCCTAAACTAACACAACATATATAATGTTTGACATACACGACTTACAGAATCAGCGCTCGTCGTTTCTACAGTCGATTCGACTCACAGTAAGACGACCAGCGCCTACAATTCAATTATTTTCGTCGCAAATCTTGCTGTAAATCGTCAAATGGAGGAAAATGGTGATCATTCCGTACAAAAAGTTACGGAGTTACACACCGGCCTGGACCAGACGCGAGCAGCACTCCAGCGAATAAAGAAGCTTCTCGCGAACCAGTCGGCAGCCGCCACGGCAGCAGCGAATGCAGCAGCGACGTCAGCAGCAGCAGCGGCTACACCGACACTTCACCCAGCAGCAGCTACAGTGAATCTTGAGGCGGCACGTCCGAGGCTACCGGAGACATTCAATCCGAATGCTAGAGAGAGACGCCGACGTCCGTCAATTCATTGCGACCCTCGAAATTTACTTCGAGGCCGTTGGCTGTACGAACCCGATACACGATGCAATGCGGATTCAGCTCGCAGCGACACTGTTACAAGGCCCGACGCTCGAGTGGATTTACAATAGCAACGAGGTCCGAGGTGAGAGGTCATGGACGTAGTTTTGAGAAGCTTTAATTCAACGTTTCGAACCAATCAACTCCAGCTGCATGGCGCGGCAGCAGATTCATCGGCATAAATAGTTCGGCAATGTAACACAGTATACACAACAGATGGAGAGCCTCTTCAACCGAATTACCGACCTGACCGAAGGGGAAAAAATCCTAGCATATACTAAGGGGCTAATGATGGAAGTCCGCCGACAGGTGATTGCCGCGAACTACAACAACTACCGCGACATGGTGTGTGCAGCAAAGAGATTCGATATGCTGATGCGATGTGAACCCGAGATACGACGCCACATGCCGAACCGATCATTTGGCACGAAGCGATCGGCACCACCTACGATCGCCGACCCGATGGATATTGACAATATCGACGCGAAGCAGCGGCCAACAAAATATGAGAAGTGCGAATTTTGCGGCGCAGCAGGACATCGACTCTTGGCGTGTTGGAAAATGAAGAAGGTATGAGCGGAGCTGTAGGGCAACAACAGTGCGACATCCACGATGGCGAAAAAAGGAGGACACGATGGTGCGAATTCAAAACGCCACGACCGGCCGGTAACAGGGGAAATCGCCAAGACAAATGGAGGCTGCGCGAAACAAGACTCTGCACCGACCGGGAAACTCCAGCCGAACACCCCCGAGAGTAAGAATATTTCCTCTCGAGGTTTTGAAACCTTTAAAAAAATCAGGGGAGATTTCAAGGCCAAGAAAAAGCCTTCATACATTATTCACGTACCTAAGAAGTTGCGCAAACCACTTCGGAGCGTTGAATATGGTCGTGCGTTCCAAGGAGATGATATTCTCTCCCCCCAGTACGGTATTAAGGCTCCCCATTACCCACAGACGAAGCCTACACAACTACAAGGGCTTAAGGGAAGGTTCTTGGCCAAGACAAAGCTCAATCAGCCTCGGATAAATCCTTCTAACCCTGCTCAGTTGGAAACTGATATGGAGTCAGCAGCTTCGAGCGCAGGACCGAGGGATGGTCTATTCGACGTACCCTACGATCCTATAAGCGAGACCTGTCAAATAGTAAGAACGAATGTAGAGTTAAGTTGAAACTAGGGCCTAGGCTTAGGAGCCTAGGCCCGAGATTAGGTGTCGAGCGGGTGTCATACATAATCCTGGTTACCATGCTGCCCCATGCATGTCATACATGTTCATGGTTACCATGTTGCCCCATGCATGTCATACATGTTCCTGGTTATTCGGGTGCCCCATCCATATCATACATGCCCAGCATATAGCGAGAGTTGCCCCATCCATGTCCTCCTTCACGGCCCGCAGGAGGGGATAAGCGTATCAGCACGTAGGGAAGCAACAGGGCAGGGCTCCCATTTGCCAACGCGCCCTTTTTCAATGCGGTTCGGGCCATGTTTCGAGATTACAAAGTGTTTGTCCCGATCCACGACCATCCCAGATTTACCATGGCTTCTCACAGGTGGACAAGACCCTGATGAACATTGTGAACTCGCACGTGAAAAACACGCACTGGATGACAAGTGTCTGTGGTGCTGTGCGCTGGACTGTTAGGGATCACTCCCCCAACATAACCCAGTATACAATGCATCCATGAAGGGCTTCAAGTGGGGAAACCATGGGCTTTACGTGCACGAGTCAGGGTTCGAGGCGTACCAGGGGGGGCTTAGACTGATGATGAGGAGGATGTGGAAGAAGAAGAGGAAGAGGAAATGAACCATAAAATGAGCAGCACGACTAAGAGCAGGGAAGCATAACTGCATGGGAGGCAGCAGGTGAGGCATGAGCGTAGACAAGGTGGGTGGCAGGAGATGGCACCAAGAGCGGAAAAGGTGTGGGTGGTTGGATGAGCAGGAGAGGGGAGGGTGCATCAATAGAGGCAGGAGAGGAGACAAGGTGCAGCAGTAGTGGCAGGAGAGGGGACATGGTGGAGCACTAGAGGTAGGGGAGGAGACCGGGTGCAGTAGTAGGTAGGAGAGGAGACAAGGTGCAGCAGTTATCAGGAGAGGAGACAGGGTGCAGCAGTAGGGAGGAGAGGAGACAAGGTGCAGCAATAGGTAAGAGAGGAGACCGAGTGCAGCAGTAGGCAGGAGAGGAGACAAGGTGCAATAGTAGGCAGGAGAGGAGACAGGGTGCAGTAGTAGAGGAAGTAGAGTAGACAATGTGTGGCAGTAGAGGCAGTAGTAGAGACAGGGTGAAGTAGTAGGGGCCAGAGAGGAGCGAGGGTGGGTGGCAGCAAGCGAGAGAGGAGAAGAGATAGGGTGGGTGGCAGCAATAGATGTAGGAGTGAAGAGAGTGTGGGGGGCAGCACGAGAGGAAGCAGTGGAGACATCGTGCAGCAGTAGGCGCAGGAATAGACGCGCGTGTAACATATTGCAGACTTCGTAGAGACTTTTGTGTTGTAAACCATTTCTTATTAATTAGATAATTTTGTTTTTTTAACCAATAGGGAAATATTATTAGCATACCCCTGAGACCAGCAAGAATCTGAATAACCTTTAGAAAAACAACCAACAAGATATGTAGATAGTTTTAAAAGAGGCTTATTGAATCTTGCCTTTGAACTTCATATAGAGTTAAATACGAATAGATTTGATCTTCACATGAACTGGGAATAATGACCTAAATATCTCAGCAAAAATACGAACCAGAGTTCTTTAAAAGATATTTCAAATGTGTCAACCTGAGCTAAAGCATTTGACGAAGCATTCCAAAGAAGTTTTATGCTTTCACCAAAATGTGTTTGAACCCAGCCTTTCTAAACCACTCGTAACATCACAACCCCAACTCTTCTTGACTAGTTCCTAAATGCTCGATTCTCGTGTTGTGGGAGACATGTCGGCGATTTTCCCCGAGTACCTAGGCCACGTGGCGACGGGCAGCGAGGGCGTCGCGTTGGGCGATAGGTGCTTTGAGCAGGTCACGGTGCGACAGGCCGTGCGTGGAGGGAGGCCTAGGCGCACACGAGAAAGAGGAGGTGGAGATGGAGGAGGGTTGAGAGGAGAAGTGGCCGTGGGGATGAGGAGAAGCATGAGAGACGAAGGTTGGGGCCTGGGAGAGGGGGAAGATGGGGAGGTCAGGGCAAGGAGGAGACTAATGCGGGGCGAGGAAGGGGGGAGGGAGTGGGTGGTGGCGATGCAGCAGGCGTTAGAGGTGGAGGGAGAGGGCAGACCGGATGGGGCGAAGGTGAGGGGGGTGGATGGACGACAGGCTGCAGCATCCCAAAATGTCTTAGGTCGAGGAGGGATGTTTGTTAGGGCTTGCCAGCGAGTAACTTTCCTGAACCTCCTTACAGGTTGCATTTCTGGTTCGCGACTCGAAAATCAGTGGGGTGCAGCATCACCGAAAGTTTTACGCCACCTTCGCGAGTGATGCTATTGGTCAAAGCACTTTGACTTTATATAGGAAAACTCCACCAAACCATTCGAGCGATAGCTATTGGTCATTCGATTCAAACCTACTTCGCAGTAAGAGCTGGGTTTGTGAGAAATGAGGAATGAAATGAACTAGCACAAAGTTGGGTACAAGTAGGAAACCCTAGGAAACTGTACCCCATAGTGTCTACCCCACTATAGCCTACACAGGCTACATAATATGAGTTTGATACACCCCCATAGGCAAAGTGGGGGAGAACAAGAGGTCACAAGACCAGTTAAGCAAAGCAAAGCAAGCTCAGGGTGGATCACAATGTCACCACACTATCCGAGCACAAGAGCAAGGCCAAAAGGTCAGTTCACCTGCAAGATCATATATAAAGGCAAACAAGCAAGTGCAGGTATAGAAAGATCACAGTACAAGCAAGGTCAAGAGGTGAGCAAGTGAGGCCAAGTAGGCACAACACCTAGCATCGTACACAGGCGCTGATGATCACAAGGCGGAAGTGCCTTGGTAAAGATATCAGCAGTGTCGGCCTCAGAGGCCACAAAAGCAAGGCGCAGCTGACCACGCTGCTGCAGCTCACGAGCAAGGAAGTAGCGAAGAGCAATGTGCTTCGTTCTGTGCTCCAGTCTGTGCTCCCGACACAAGGCCAGCATGGCCTTGATGTCTACGTACAGAACTGGAGGAGAACGAGGCGGCTCTCCTAGGTCAGTCAGCAGGTAGGTGAGCCAGCGTAGCTCCTGTGCAGCCATGGCCCCTCCGTAGATCTCAGCCTCACAGCTGGGGCTGAGAACAGAAGACGAGCGTGTAGACCGCTACGAAACAGAGCCAGAGCCAAGGCTGAAGGTGTAACCCTGTGACGACCGCTGCGGAGCTTGGTCGTCAGCCCAAGAAGCGTCTGCGTGACCTGTGAGGACCACTCGACTTCGCCCTCCAAGCACTAGCCCCATGCGCGACGTACTGCACAAGTAGCGCAACACCCTCTTCGCTCTAGCCATGTGCTCTAGCATGTGTCTGCCAGGAGCAACATAGCCTGCCAAGATGCTAAGAGGGTATGCAAGGTCAGGTCGTGTGCAGGTCATCAGATACATGAGGCAGCCAACAAGCTCTGGGTACGGGCCACTCGACTCTACGGACTCATCCGAAGGCAGAGCTGAGAGCGAGTGGCGAGTAGACAGAGGAGTGGCCTGAAGCGAGGAGTACATGAAGTTGAAGCGCTGAAGGACCTGCTGCACCATGTTTGACTGAGTCAGGGTAATGGTGCGCTGTGCTCTGTCCCGAGTGATCTGCGAGCCAAGGTAGCTGCGCAATTCACCCAGGTCTGTGCACGTGTGTCTCTTCTGCAGCTCAGACTTCACGTGGGCGTGTCCAGCAGTGTCAGCAAAGAATCCCTGAGTAGCTCTCATACCATGTTACAATCCCAAGTGGGACTTAGCAAAGGATCGGTCTGGGTTGATCGCAGAGTAGTTTTGCAGTGGAAGATTGAATCTCTGGTCAGAGTGAATGTAAATGACTGAGTTGATAAAAACATGCATACATCGGGTATATAAAAGAATACAAAGGAATACCAAAAGAGTTAGGCTAGCCATGTACTCTAAGGGGTACATTCCCTTATTACCGCAAGTTCAAACCATGTGGCGCGCGAACCCGTTTAAAACCTGTTCTCGCTCTTTTCATTTCATTTTTTTCTGCCTCCATCGGTCTTTGGTCAGACGGTTGCTGCGTCGCTTCGAGTCTTCTGACTCCTCGACTTCGTACTCGGTAGAGTCGGCTCTTGCAGCTTACAGGGATGCCTTTTCATGTAATTTCATATCATAACACGTAAGGTGGCTCAACAAAGTTCCTTATTACAACGCTTCCGCAATACAACATTCCTATCAGAGTCATGCTTGAAAGATCCTAAGGGCTTTTTTCAGCCCAACAACCGATCATGCCATTAGGGAAATTATGCCACTCGTGTCAGAATGCTAGGCAAGAATGGATTGGACAAGGAAAGAGTTAGGTACAAATATGAAACCCTGAAAAGGATGTACCCCATACAGGGTACCCCACTACATCCTAAACATATATAGCATTTATATAATTTGACACACCCCCATAGGCAAATTGGGGGAGAGCAAAGGGTCACAAGACCAGTCAAGAGAAGCAAAGCAAGCTCAGGGTGGATTCCAACGTCACCACACACACTGAGCACAAGCAGAGGGCCACAAGGCCAGTTCACATGCAGAGGTATATATGCAACAACAGCAACACAATGATCATTACCTAGCAAGAGCAAGCAGGCAGGTATATATATATAGATCACTGTACAAGCAGAGTCTACAGCAAGTGAGGAAACGTAGGCACAAGGCCTAACAAAGTACGAAAGCGCTGATGATCACCAAGCATAAGCGCCTTGGTGAATATATCAGCAGTGTTGGCCCGAGAGGCCACGTAAGCAAAACAAAGCGGACCACGCTGCTGAAACTCTCGAGCAAGGAAGTAATGCAGAGCGATGTGCTTCGTTCTGTGCTCCAGTCTGTGCTCCTGACACAAGGCAATGGCGGCCTTGTTGTCTACGTACAGAACAGGAGGAGAACGAGGTTGCTCTCCCAAGTCGGTCAGCAGGTAGGTGAGCCAGTCTAACTCCTGTGCAGCCATGGTTGTGGCGTAGATCTCAGCCTCACATATGGAGCCGAGAACAGAAGACGAGCGTGTAGACCGCCACAAAACAGAGCTAGAGCCAAGACTGAAGGTGTAACCCTATGATGACCGCTGCATAGCCAGGTCGTCAACCCAAGAAGCGTCCGAGTGCCCACTAAGGACAACGTCGCCCCGTCCTCCAAGCACGAGCCCCATGCCCGACGTACTGCACAAGTAGCGCAGTACCCTCTTAGCAGCATCCATGTGCACCTTTTGGTGCCTACCAGGAGCCACATAGCGAGCTAGAAGGCCAAGAGGGTACGCAAAGTTAGGACATGTGCAGGTCATCAGGTACATGAGGCAGCCTACTAGCTCAGGGTAAGGACCACTCGGCTCTACGGACTCGTCCGAAGGTGGAGCTGAGAGCAAGTTACCTGTAGCCAGAGGCGTGGCCTGTGCCGAGGACCAGGTGAAGCTGAAGCGTTGAAGGACCTGCTGCACCATGTGTGACTGAGTCAGTGTGATGGTGCGGCGTGCTCTGTCCGGGTGATCTGCAAGCCAAGGTAGCTGCGCAGCTCACCCAGGTCTGTTCACGTGTGTCTCTTTTGCAGCTCCGACTTCACCACGGGGAGAGCCTCAATGTCAGCAGTGGCAAAGACCAAGTCGTCAACGTACACGAGGATGTAGAACGGCGGCAGCGAAGTGTTGATGCGCAGAGACAGCGACGGGGCAGCAATGGAAGGAGCAAACCCAAGAGCCGCAAGCATAGTCTTCAGTGTGTCTTGCCACTCACGGGGCGCCTAGCAAAGACCATAGACTGGCCGCCGGAGGCTCCACTGGGTACCAGGAGGGAACGACCCAGTGAAGCCAGGTGGGTGGCGTAGCCAGATCTCCTCGTCCAGGCTGCCGTGTAAGAAAGCGATGCTGAAGTCAAGAGAGTGAAGCTCGTAGTCACGCTGAGCGGCAACGTGCAGCAGCAGCCGAAGACTGATCATCTTCGGGGTGGGAGAGAAGGTCTGGAAGAATTCAACTCCCTCCCGCTGAGTGAAGCCTCGAGCAACATAATGAGCCTTGAAGACACGCGTAGATCTTGGTGGTCGCTTCACCCTGAAAATCCACATGCCACTGACGATGTTCGCCCCAGGAGGGGGAACCTCGTCGACGTAAGTGCCTGTGGACTTCCAGGATGCCATCTGTGCGTCCAGGTTGCTTGCCAGTGAGAGGAGTACTCACCCGCGATCCCCTCAACGTAAGAGCGCATGGTAGGGATGTCTAGAGTATACGGGTCTCCCTCAAGGGCAAGCCGCATGGCCACAAGATGAGGTGCAGCGGCTGCAAGGCACTCAAAGTTATCCTGCCCATCCTCAAGGAC